AGTCGGAGGAGCACGGAAGGAGACAGTAATTTAAGGGTGTTGGAAACAATTTAGACAATCGTCCTTGATTTCAGAATTTGTCCCTGGATGCACCAGGGCCCCCAGGTAGAGGGGTGTGTGAGTATACGTGTACAGATCTGATCTTCAAGCATCTCCCTCCACTCTGCTCTTCTAGAGTGACATATTTCTGTCCCTGTCCCGTTCTCAAGTCCCTTACAGACCCCTTAATCCACAAGGAGTGCCAAGGTTGTCACTCAGCTTTCTAACGGGCAAGGTTCTGCAGGCGGGCAGCCAGGCACCACTCTTCACCTGAGAGCCCTGGAGATGTGCCCTCATTCCTGTCTCCTGCTCTGTACTGAGCTCAGGGCATCCTCAGGGAGGGAGAGCCGGGGAGGTGGGGAGGGGAAGCGGGGTGTCCGGAGGTGTGTGAGGCTCAGTGGCCCTGACAGGGAGTGGACTCCACCCTCCTCCGTAGCCAGGTTAACGCAGCTGGGAGACAGTCTTACCTCTGGCTGGTTTGCTGCTGTCCTTGTTAGACATTCAGAGACTCAGAACAGGCGTCAGGGCCTTTTCTACCCAGAGTCCTGTTTCCCTGGGCCCACGTTCCTATAGGCTATGTGATGGGGAGGTGCAGGGGGCCGGGGAGCAACCTAGTGAGCTCTCTCCCCTGCAGGACCTCTGTGCAGCATTAATGCAAAGTGACTGTTGGCTCCTTCCTATGATGGTGTGCACTGCCTCGCGTGGTCCCCATTCCTCCCAGAACAACTCTATTTAGAGGACTATTTAGGTCTCTCTATTTGAGACACCTCGTTGCCTTCTGGAATGTTTTCCCCATTGGTTAGTCTTGGCCAAAATCTTTCCTCTGCCCAACAGACCTTCACTAGCCCTAAACAAACAACAAACACCCCAAACAAAACCCAATCTATTGTCACCAAGCCAAAGCCGACTCATAGCAACCTTAAAAAACAAGAGTAAAAAACATTGTTCTCCTGAGGAGTGGCTGATGGATTCAAACCACTGACCTTTCAGTAAACAGACTAACAATTAACCCACTGCATCATCAGGGTTCTTTTCCAGCCTTCAGACCTGCTACCCTTAAGTCTTCTCCAGGTGAAGAAGCAAGTTTCTTCAGTCTGTCTAGGGCCTCGTTCTCACATCTTCACATCTCTCCTAATGAAAATGCCTCTACTGTTAACACCCCAGCTTTCTTGACCAGAGGGGGAAAGCCTGGTGAGGGTTGTAGAATCCCATCCCATCTGGCCAGGACTAGATTTTACTCACATAAGCTGATCAGAAGCACACAGGAACCGGGGCCCGTTTAGGTCAGTTCCCTGTGGCTATCTACACCGATGGCACCATAGGACTCTGTCGCCCCCCTGCCCCACCTGAGAAAAGATGATTCTAGAGGTCCTCAACTGACAAGCATCTGGAGGAGTTTTGTCCCTGTGCTTCTTGCACTGGGTTATAGTCACCTATGACCCTTTAAACCGTGAGCTGGGCACCTCTCCAAAGCAACCAGTGTAGCCAAAGAACACTCTGACTGCACTAGAAGATTCTGGAAATGAGGCAAAGTCATTTAACTGTAGAGCAGTTCAGGGCAGCATTTTTATATGAAGACAAATGAGTTTGTGTGTGTGTGTGTGTGTGTGTGTGTGTGTATTGAGAACTGTAGAGTTGGAACTGACCCATAGCTGACCCTCAGGCAGGCTTTCAGACAGTTACTCACATGCTCTCTCGCTCTGTCCCTCCCTCCCCCCTTCTCTCTATATATAATTATATATGTAGGAACATGAATTTCAAAGCCAGAACATGAATCCTCCACATCTCTTGCCCAGCAAGATAAAACTGAGGCACAGAGGACTGAGTTGGCCAAAGTGACAGGACAGGAGAGGGAGAAACAGATGTGGATGCTGGAGGCCACCCTGCCTGCAGGACATTTCTATGTGACAGGAGGGCATTTACCAAAGGATTCGGGACCACTGACTGGTAACAGTGAGACTTCCAGACCAAGCAGTGCGTGGTGCAGGGGTCTCCAGAGGTCAATGGGGACTGCCAGAAGCCGCCCAGGTTCCGGCCTGAGCTGCCTTATTCTAGCCTCTGCCTACGTCTCATTCAGCCCCCTTCACTCAGTACCTGACATCTCCAAAGTACTCCTGGCCTTTTGAGACATCCTCAGGCTGTCTGCAGAGTTCTGATGGCCAGAGCCTATGCTGAGGGAGTTTGGGTAGGGAACTTGGAGAAACTCAGATGTACTCAAATGCCTCTATTGTCACAAACTCCAAACCTAATCCATTGCTGTTGAATAGGTCACAGAGACCCCACATTAGGTTTCAAAGCTGTAAATATTTACGGGGGGAGACAGCCCGTCTTTCTTCCTCAGAGTTAACTGGTGGATTTGAACTGCCAACCTGCCAGTAATCAACCTGGTAAACTATGCACAATGCCACCAGGGCTCCCTTATTAGAGTTGCGTAAAGTCAGGATCAGGGTGGAGAAGGAGCCTTAGAGTATGCTCAGAGGGGGCTGAATTTGAAACCCAGCTGTTTCCTGTACTGAGATATGGGGGTGTGAGTCCCTAAGAGTGTTCACCATGGTAAGAAAGGGGACCACAAAGGAGAAGGAGCACTGTGCAAGGGGTCAGGATGCCACCCAGTGCTCAAAGTCTTACATGAGAAACATCAACAGGTGGCTTTGTTACTGTCCTGTCAGCTTCTGGAAGTCACATCCGACAGAAGTGCGACTCTCAATAGAATTTAATCAAGTCAATTAATACTGTTTAATAAATAGGCCAGAAAGTTAGCTGCGAGTTTGTCTCGGCAGGATGCAGCGTGCAACCGAAGTATTGGAGGATTGTCCCTTGAATCACTAAGGCAAACTGTTGAGCATCATTTTACATAAAGCAATCACATTAAAAAAGAAGTTATAAATAGAAAAAAAAATGCCAAAGTTCTCCCACAGATAGGCAGGGAAATCAAAACAGGAAAGAAAAAATAAACCCTTTTAAAAACTGAAACAAAACCACAACAATCCCTCCCCCTCCCCCCCCATAACCCATTTGCTTCAAGTTCTTGAGCATACAGTACTTTGTATCTTTGGATATTTTACAATGTACAACTCCAAACTGCAGCCCAGGGGGGAGGAAAAAAAAAAACAACAAACACAACCAACCCAAAAGGAACTAACCAGTCATCTGAAAAATTGAGTTTATAAGAAGCCAGAACCTTTACAAAATAAAACAAAAGCCCCAACACCACTGGATTCCAATTTTTTCTTTTTCTCTCTTTAAAGTTTAAGGGACGGGGTGCAGGCATGGTGGCCAGTGGGTTCCAGAGTGAGTCTCTGACATGGACTGAGAGGCAGCTGCCCGGAAGGATGAGGTCTGAGAACAGGCTATGGAGAAGTGATCCACCCGGGAGGTCACTGGTGGAACATAGAGACGGGGTAGGCGCTGAGAGGAACGGAGTCTGTGATCTTCCTGGGCCTTTTTGTTTAGTGTTTGTTTCAGGGAAAAGAAGCCAAGGTAGCAGGAAGAGCTGATGTCTCTGGGATGGGGGCATCGTGTGGATGAACACTCCTCATCAGGCTGCCGGGGTACCAGAACCTCAGCCTCTCTCAACAAACAGAGAGACAGGGAAAGAGAAGACAGGAAGGCACTGGGCTGCCAACACGAGAACCGTGTGTATGGTGGGTGCTGACTCACCAAGCCGTTCCCACCATGTGGGCCTGGAGCCCCTTGAGAGTGGAGTGGAATGTCCAGATGCATCCCAGGGGGTGAGGGTGTCCAGATGGAGCAAAGGGGACAGTAACCAGCAGTGCCAAGCAGAGGCGTACCTACGGTGTGGCCGGTATGCCACATGGCCTGAACTCCCATTCAGGGGGCTCCACTGAGCAGTTTACACTACCAGCTGTGAGCAACCATTCATCAATTTAGACCTGCCACTGGGCGCTGTTTTTCTGTAGATAAGTCTCTTGATGCCAGGGCCCTGAGAAACTTACAACTTGAAAAGCAACACAGACAGTGGGCAGCAGGGCATTTGGTCTGTTTTTCATGAATCAGGGTGTTGGGGGAGACAGCACCAGATGGTAAATGTAGTGGTGGTCCCTGTTCTTTCTATGGGAATCCCATGAAACTCTGCCAGGATTGGGGGGAGGGAATGTGGAGGTGAGGAAATTGTAAAAGCGTTCCCTAGAAAGGCTTGGATTCTCCAAAGCAGTGGAAGAGGATGGGTGAAGATGCTTCAGCCGGGTCCCTGCACCCCTGTCTAGTCTGGCCACATTTCTCACCTGGGTGGTGAGGGGCAGGAAATAAAACAGAATTTGGTAAATCATCACCAGGAACTTTTGGAGTGCCACGCTAACCTCCCCATGACTCTTTGAAGGGGGTGTGTGTGTGTGTGTCCTAAAACATCTCTTGCCCAGCAAGATAAACCGAGGCACAGAGGACTGAGTTGGCCAAGGTAGATAGGACAGGAGAGGGAGAAACAGATGTGGATGCTGGAGGCCACCCTGCCTGCAGGACATTTCTATGTGACAGGAGGGCATTTACCAAAAGGATTCGGGACCACTGACTGGGAACAGTGAGACTTCCAGACCAAGCAGCGTGTGGTCCAGCGGTCTCCAGAGGTCAATGGGGACTGCCAGAAGCCGCCCAGGTTCCGGCCTGAGCTGCCTTATTCTAGCCTCTGCCTGCGTCCCACTCCCCTTCACCCAGCGCCTGACATCTCCAAAGTGCTCCTGGCACACCTTTCCTGGTCCCTCCTCTGTGGAACGGTGTGGCCACCAGAGGGACACAGCCTGGGAGCGGTGACACCTGGATTCCAGACCCTTTGGGAAGAGGCGCCACGCATTACGCACCAGCAAAAGGGGCCCCAGAAGGCCTGGAAAATAGCCCTGCTGCTCGAGTTTGTCCAGTTCCCTTTTTTTTTTTGTCTGTAAAACAGGTTCAGACCCACCAGGTGGGGCTGGGCGGGCCTGGTGGGCAGGGGGTGCACAAGGACCAGCCTAGTTGTTGGCTTCGGACATGGAGGCCACGTGGTTGAGGCCCGCGAGCGAGGGGAGACCGGCCAGGCCTGCGGCCCACGGGTCAGGCAGCGGGAAGTAGGGCCGCGCCGCAGCCACGTTCTCGGCCAGCGCGAAGGCCAGCAGGCCCCCCGCGTTCCGCTCGGCCTCCAGCTGCGCTCGCCCGAACAGCTTCATCTGCGTCTCCTCGAACTGCCGCTCCAGCTCGTGCAGGCTCAGCGCGCCCTTGGGCGCCGCCAGGAAGTGCTTGGAGGGCCCGGGGCCCGGCAGGCACACGGCTGCGCCGCCCAGGTGGCCGCCCACCTCGCCCAGCGCGGGCGGCACCACGAAGGCCGCCTTGTCGGGGGCCGGGCCTCCGGGCGCGAACAGCAGGCTGGCAGCCCTCCAGGCAGCGGGCTTGCGGCCGCGGCGGGGCCTGGCCATGCGGCAGCTCTGGCGCTTGATGTGGCGGTGCAGGTGGTCGGAGCGCGTGAAGCTCTTGTAGCAGAACTCGCACTGGTAGGGCCGCACGCCGGTGTGGATGCGCATGTGGTTCTTAAGGTCGTAATTGTGCACGAACTTGGCGTTGCAGTGGATGCACAGATAGGGCCGCTCCCCCGTGTGCTTCCGCATGTGGATCTTCAGCTTGTCCTGCCTGTAACGCAGAGCCATGGGTCAGGCTTACACGGCATGCCTGGCGCCGTTCCCATGCCTCTGCTCCCCCTCCCTCTAGAACCTGCTGGGGTTCCCTACTGCCGTGGGATCGGACCACAGGGATGGGGCCTTCCACAAACAAGCGTGGCCACTCACCTGGGCTGGAGGAATGCAGTAACGAAGGAAGTAATGAAGGAAGGCCTCTCTGCCTGCCCCCGGCCACCACACACGCTCAGAATAACAAAGCGGGCCCTTTTTATCTGGGGCCCATTTCACCCCCTGGCAAACAGGCTGTCCAGGGTGTATGGCCCCCAAGTCAGCGGTCTCCTCCCTTGACACTGGATTGCTCTGCTCACACACTACAGTGCCACCCTATGGGTCAGCCAAAGCCCCTGGTCACACTTTGGCCCCTGGGTTGTCGTGCCCTGTCACTCCTGGCACTAATCTGGGTGGGTATGAGGCGGGGGCACATCTCGTTCCAGCCTCCTGCACTGCGGTTTCTTCTCCCAAGCCCTGGGCTCCCTCTCCTCTTTGTCTGCAGACAATCCCAGGGTTTACAAAAGATCCAGGTGCAGCAAGAATGCAGCCTAATCTAGGGCAAAGCTCTTCAGAGTGCAAAGGGCTCTTATTCAGAGGCAAGGTATGGTGGAGGGGCGGGGCTCTGCTGGGGGTCTAGGAGCCCCTGTGCCAGCTGTACACCCACCACCATCTTGCTGGGTGTTCTCAGGTTAAGTTACTTAACCTCCTTTGCAGCGCTGAGCCTCAGTCAGACCTCAGTTCTCACTGCCCAGGGTGGAAGGAAGAATCAAGGTTTGTGTGAGTTATTCTCAGTACATACAACGCTGTTTTCTAGGCTGAAAGCTGAGCAAACCAGTGAGCCTGGGTGAGGTGCAGGAGAGCTGGCTGCAATCATTCCAGGCTGCTCTGTCACTGGCATTTTGCAGCCTTTCCTAACCTCTCACCAACAGGGAAACATTTTGTCCGGATCCTATCTCCTCCCCAAAGGTGGGGCTTGTGGGGCACATCGGGCCTGTAACTTGGGTTGGGGTATAAGGCCCGAGCAGATGTGGCATCTGTGTGTCCTCCCTACAGAGCCTGGTCTGATGTACACCTGCTTAACGTACAGCCAGGGCCCCAGCGTCTGGTGTTCCTGGTGTCCCCTGGCCACTAGAGGGCTCACTGGCTCTCATTTTCAGAAACGGCTCCTCAGGGGTGGGACAGAGGGAATTTGGGGTGGACAGTGGCAGAGGCCAGGAGTAACCATGCCTGCCTATGTGCAAAGGGAGGCTGGGGGCCCTGGTTGGTGGTCAAGAAGGGCAGGGAGAAGGAGGAGATGCTGGGTGGATGCTCTCGCCCACACGCCTTGTCCCTGCCTTTCCCACCACATGCCCCAGTCTGCATCACAGGTGCGGTGACACTCGTCCCCCACCTCCTTGTGGTGTCTAACTCAGCTTCCATCCACATGACTGGGCTTATGTGCGGGAAGAGCCTCGGTGAGCTCTGATGAAGGCCCCTCACAGGAGTATCTCGGGACTTGATAGAACACAGCTTGCTCAGCCCCATTCCCAGAGGTTCTGGTTCGGAAGGTCTGGAGTGGGGTCCGAGAAACACTGTTGTCCTGGGCGCCATCGCGTGAATGCCAGCGCCATGTATGTAGGGTAGAGCTGGGCCATAGGTTTTCCCTTCTAGAAGCAGATGGCCAGGTGTCTTCAGAGACACCTTTGGTCAGGTTCAAACTGCCAACTCTAGGCTGGTAGTAAAGTGCATAACCACATATCACCTATCTACCCTAAGTTCTTTGCTCTGTAAGAGAGTAAACTGAAGCTCCGTGAGGGGCACTTGCCAAGCCCACAGAAAAGCTAGAGGCAGGGTTGGGATTTGAACTCAGGCCTGTTGGCTCCCAGACCAGTGCTCTTTCCTCACCATTGCACTGCCCTCTGTGGAGAAATGCCATAGTGCCATCTGTACCCAAATAACAATGGTGCTCACTGTCCTGAGAGACATGTTTGGGGACAAATTCACCCCACCACTGACAGAGACACTGACAGAGTCAGGCTGCTAACCTGACTTGCCGGCCATGTGACTTCCTCCCTCATCAATGTCCGGTCTCAACAGGACTTGGAATATTTCATCTCCACAACCTCATGAGGTTCCACTGAGTCGACCAGGATCCACAGCAACTCTACAATCAAGGGCTCTAAGCTTGGTCTTATCCTGAGTCACCCTCAACATCTCTGATCTACTGAAGCCCATTGTTACTATCTACCTTGGTTTTGAAAATTTTAAATGTTATTATTTTTTGTGTGTGTACCATCAAATCAAATCTGACTTGTATAGGAGGAGATTGCCCTGCCTTCTCCACCAGAGCATCTGCTGGATTCAAACCGTGCACTTCTGGGATGGCAGTGCAGCTTCTTGCCACTAGTCTACCAGAGAGAGCTCCCTTGCAGTCCATCTTGTTGAGGGTCTCTCTCTCCTTCACTGACCCTATCTTTCCAAGTATGACGTCCTTCTCCAAGGACTGACTCTTCCTAACAATATGCCCAAAGCACGTGAGACTAAGTTTAACTGATAGGTTTTTAAAAATCACTATCACCCATAATTACTGACCTTCAAAGTCACTCTCAAGTAACATTGTTGTGTACTGACTGTAGAGTCAGAACTGACCACAGCTGCCCTATGGCAGGTTTTCAGAGGCAGTTAATCGCATGGGAGGAGACTGCTCATCCTTCACCCACAGAGCAGTTGGAGGCCTTGAACTATGAGCCTTTGGGATTGCAGCACTGCTTCTTGCCACAAGGCCACCAGAACTCCCTGTTGTCATTATTAGTTGGAAGATGCAAATATTAAATCTTTATCATAAAGACCCAAACATCTGCCAACTCCCAAGTTGTTTTAGAGTACAGCTGTGCTCTACTGGGGTTCACTGGCTGTGATGTTATGGAAATAACTCACCAGATTCTTTTCCCAGAGCGCTGCTGAGTGGATTCAAACAAATACACTATTATTCCAACTATCCTGAAAAGTTGTCTCGTTGATAGTGAAGAGGTGGAGCCCCAAGAACTTATGCAGAGGTGAGGGGCAGGTTTATAAAGTGAGTAAGGGAGGAGTTACCAAAGAGGAACATATTCTTCAATACAATCAGTTACCTACCCCAAAAACACACCTCAGGAGGTGGCAAGGGGCAGTAAAGAAGGATGAATGGAAATGGAGAACCCAGAGAAGAAAGAGGAAAAGAGCTGTTCCATTGAGGACTCTTTAACCAAGGTCATGAAACAAAATGAACGTGCATAAATTGTTCAGTGGGAAACCAATTTGCTCTGATGTGGAGCATGGTTGTTTTGCAGGCATTTCTTGGGGGGAAGGCAATGGGTTTCCATAGTCACCCTCTGTCCCTGGGGCCCATAGGCTAGGGCATGTCCAAGAGAGGCTCAGCCCTCACAGGACCTGTTGCTATCTGCTGGACACTGTTCATGGGGGTGAGGGCAGGGGTCCCAAGGTGAAAGCTCCTAAGCTGGTCTTGAAAGAACCTTAGCGATCATCAAGTTTCCTAAGAGTGCATGGATCTAACTGACTCATCTTCTGAGTCACTGGGGCCCAAGAACCTGCATTGTCAGCTGGAAGCTTCCCAGGGTCTTGTAAATACTGATCTAATCCAGTCCCTTCACTCGAAAGAAAACGAAGAACCAGAGAGGGAGGGGCTTTCTCAGGTCTCATTGTCTCCATACGACTTCGTCATGGGTATTTAATGCATTGGTTGAAGTGGGCAAGGTGCCAAACACACTCGAACTGAATCCAGTCCTTTAGCTGTTTCAGCCTGAGTCTTCTGATCTGTTGGGTAGGGGCTGGGCTGTGTAATTTAACTCTCAGGCGCTCCTTGAAAGTTTGCATCTGAGTAATGCTTTTGTAGTGAATCAGCCCCTTTTGACTACGGATAGCTGCGTTGTCGATCCGAAGGTACACTGTTTGAACCCACCAGTTGCTCCACAGGACAAGAATGGGCAATCTCTTCGCATGTGACTTACTGCCTCTGGAAACCTGCTGGAGGGTCAGCTGTGGGTTGGTTCTGACTCGATGGTACACTGAAAAGCTTCAAGGCTTCCCCCTCCCACCACCACCTGTGTGCTCACTTAGACCTGAGCCTGATGTTCAAGGCTTTTCCTAAGTTCAGCCCCACTGACTCTTGCCTGCTTCAGCCACGGGTACTGTGCCCATGGAACACGTGAGTGATGCTGCTCTCCTCTGGCCAACGTCAGGCCAACTTTGCCCACATAGCTTGGGTGATGCTGCCCTCTGCTGGCCAAGGTCAGGCCAGTGTGAGCTACAATGCCAATCACCAGGGCAGAGTCACTACATTCTAGGGTGATGCCAGCAAGTCTCAGCTTCCCCTTCTGTGCATGGCTGATGTTTTAGACACCATGCTCCGTCCCAAGGGTCATACCAGAAGCCCAAGCCCAATGACTGATAGGGGTTCACCCCTTCTCACCTGTGCGCCCTCTAGCACACCCCTCTTCCCTCTTTGTGTTTTCTCTCCCCAGGTGATCTGCCTGAAAGGTCTCCCGTTCTCAGTCTACAGAAACTTCAAGGTCAGCCAACCCTTTGCTGTCCTCCTCCAGTTCTTTTTCTCAACCTTGTGCGCTACCTGTGGCCTCAAATTATCTTGTCACCTAGGTGCCAAGGTGAAGGCCACAGAAGATGAGGTACCAGCATCTTCTTCTCCTGACCCTAGTGGATCCCCAGGTGCGACAGTGTCCTCTTGAAAGGCTGTGAGGCTAAGGTGGTCACGGTTCCATGTGCTGTTAGTGCCCCGGGCTGGGACAGTACCAGTGTCCCTTGCTGTTTGGAGCACTGCACTTGCTCCGAGGCTCCTTCCTGACAGCCCCTTTATCTTGTGTGTGTGTGTGTGTGTGTGTGTGTGTGTGTGTGTGTGTGTGACAGGCACACTGTGAGCATCATTTCCTGGGCTGGCTCTAGACCCACAGAGAGAGACACTCTGAGACTGGCTACTAAAGGCCTTGCGGATATGCAAGGCCGAGAAATGACAAAGGGTCAGTGACTTCATGGGCGAGAGGCAGTGAAGCCCAGTGGGAGCAGCAGAGAACGGAGGCTCACAGACACTCTTCTCACAAAGATCTTCCAGGAGCCCCTTGCAGGCACCCTGCTGAGGCCATTTATGTCGCACTGAATCCTAGGAAGCTGGCATTACTATTATTCACAAGAGGAGACAGGCAAAGAGAGGGACAGAAAGGAGTTCACAGTTTACCTCATCGTAGCAAAAAAAGGAATAGAGACACAAAACTGAGAGCGATCAGGGAACAGCTCCTCCAGCTCTCTCCTGTCACCTAAAGGGAAACTGAGGCCTGGAGAGGGGAGAACCAGAGGCCCAGCCTCCTGATACCATGGCCACACTCACTGTAAAGTGCCAGCATCTGCTGTTCACCTCTGTCCATTCAACAAGCAGCTTGAATGAGTGCCAGGTTCTGCTTCCTCCTGCCCCACATATGCTTTGAGCAGCTCTCTGCAAAGACGCTGCTCCACAGGGTGCATGGATGTCTGCGGAGTGTTTGTTATTGTCATTGTTGTGTACTGTCAAGTCCTAATTAACTCACAGCTGGCAGGTTTTCAGAGGCAGGAAATTGCACTGGAGGAGACTGTCCATTTTCCTCCCATAGCACAGCTGGTGGATTCAAACGGCAAGCCTTTGGACTAGCAGCACAATTCCTTATCAATAAGCCACCAGAGCTCCCGGTGGTCAGACCTCAAGCCCACTGGGGTCTCCAGGGCTCCAGTCTCCCTGCCATCTGGTCCGAGACCAGCTGAGTCACAGGCGAGCGCGTCTCAGCTTCAGTAGCCCTTCCCTGTGTGTCCACCTCACCTCGGTGAAAAGGTTCCTCCAGCACTCCATATCTAGTGAGAGGAATGGGCCCCGGGGCGTTGGCCAGCACTCCCTTGCTGTCCCTAACAGCTGTCAATCACAGTAATGCTTCCTAGACCTCCACCCAGACTTCTTGGTAACTTGATGGTCTGAGACAAAGTCTTCCTGCTGCTAATGACATCACATTATCATAATAAGGTTCCCAGAGTTGGACTGGGAAGATAAAAAAAAAAAAGAGAGAGAGAGAGATGGAGAAAGGCTGGGCACCGGCCTTGTCCAGAGAGCGGACAGCTGTTGGGATGGAGGCAATATGGCTGGCCCAGAAGGGAGGTGCTGGGAGCATTTGGAGGGAGAAAAGTTTAGGAAAAATCAGTCATTCAAGAGTCCCCTTTTCCAGGAGGGGGCGTGTCCTCAGAGGGGCGTTTCTTATGAGGGCGTGTCCTCTTTTATTCTCAGTGGTGGTGGCTGAGAGGGACAGAGGCAATGTGGGGAAGGTCCAGTCTAATAAGTGAGGGTTATGGGGCCCTGTCTGCCAGACTCTGTCCACTCCACCCGCTGAATCAGTGACCAAACCTGATACCAGCCCACTCATCCAGACATTCGTCCATTCCAGGTGTGACTGATCGATCAGCTCACCCTCATGCTAGTGACCACCCACTTGCCAATGGAGCGTGTTTCCCCCAAATGAGGTCTAACAGAACTGGGACCGGACAAATCCAACCTCATATAGTCCCACAAGTTGTTCTTGGCTGCAAAACTTTCAGGAGATGGTACATAGCACATCTTTGACAAATGACAGAGTCTATAAAGAGAAAAGAGGCTTGGTGGCTCAGTGGTTAAGTGCTCCATTGCCAATGGGAAGGTCTGCAGTTTGACCCCAGCAACCCTTAGGGGAGAAGGTGTGCAGTCTCCTTCTACACAGTGTTACAGCCGTGAAATCCTTCGGGGGCTACTCTGTCCCATGGGGATAGTGTGCACTAGAGTTGACCCAGGAGCAAGAGGTTCGATGAAAGGTGAAGGGCTCATAACACACTAACTTCAGGGCATTTTTCTAACAGCATAAAGTCAACTCTCTTCCTGACATGGGGAGCCAAAGAGAGACCAAAAAAGAAGAACCACCCTTTAGGGCCAAACCAGAAAATGATTGAAAGGACGTTTGGGGGTCTCTATCATCCTCTGGTGGCCTAGTGGTAAGAAGTCACACTGCCAACTGAGACAAACGTGGCTCAAATCCACCAGCCACTTGGCAGGAGGAAAATGGGCAATCTCTTCCCACATGGTTTGAATTACAGCCTCTGAAAACCCACTGGAGGGTCAATTAGGAGTCAGTTCTGACTTGACAGCATATAACAACAACAACAACAATAAAACAGTAACAACAACAACAACATAGGCCTGCAGTCCAGGTTTTGCCAGCTCTGTTTAAGTGAGCATAGCCACTACTTCGTCAAGGTACCCTGGTGATGCAGCGGTTAAAGCACTCAGCTGCTCACTGAAGGCTGGTCGTTTGAGCCTGCACACTACTGGCTAAAGATGTGACCCCTTCTTCCACAAAGATTCACAGCTCTGGAAACCCTGGGGGCACAGCCCCATTCTGTCCCTCACGGCTGCTCATTCACTCAACGGTGGTAGAGCAGGAACCCAGTCAGACCCTGCCCTGCCCTGCCCTGCCCTGCCCTCCCCTCCCTTTCCAGAAACTTCCCTCCTTTTCGCTCCCCTCCCGTCCCCTGTGTTTCCAAGGCCGTGAACTGTGGAGGGGGGTGGGGATGCCCTTCTTTCTCCCAGGGAGCCGCCGGTGGGTGGATTTAAACCGTCAAAGAGGCATGGCCTTTGGGTAAGCAGCACAAGTCCCCATAGACAAGGCCACCAGAGCTCTTTACAAGGTGGTTATGAGTTTGAATCCACTTAAAGACCCAAGGCCTGACTTTGCCTGAAGCTACTCTGAGTAGAATAAAGGGCTACCCCCTCCACTGGAGATGCTTAAACTAGGTTCCACTTAGACGTAAGTGGGCAAATGGGGAGGCGGCCAAGCACTGGACACTTCGCCTGTGTCTTAACCAGAGCAGTTTACTCTCCTTAAATGTCTTGTGTCTCAGCGTTCTACCTAATAACGTGCTTGAGAAAATCTAGTTTGCTCTTAAGATGTTGAAGAGCCAGTGTATCACATGACCCCCAGCCACCTTCTAGTGATGAATGTGTGTGTCTGGGACACAGGAAGGGCCCCTGCCTGGTCCCTCCCCAGCTTCTGCTCTCCACCCCCACTCCGAGGACCCCGTGCGCACCTGGTGAAGCGGACCTCGCAGATGCTGCACATGTACGGCTTCTCCCCAGTGTGGGTCCGCATGTGCCGGGGCAGCTTCCCGGCTCCCATGATGACTTTGTGGCAGATGGGACACTGCTGGGAGGCCTTGGGCTTTAGCTTGCGCTCCTCCACCAGCGGCCAGGGCGGGAAGAGGCCCCCCAGGTGGGTGGCGCTCAGGAAGTTGAGATAGGCACCATAGTCGTTCTCAGCCTTGATGGGGCCCAGCGGCCCCCCAGGAAGGTCTGGGAACATGTCCTTGAAGAAGTCGTTGGGGAAGGGAGGGGGTGGGGGCGGGGGCAACTCCTCCTTGTCCTCCTCCTTGATCTTCCGGTTCTTGATGACCAGGTCCAGGGGTCCACTGTCCAGGGGCTGCTCGGGCAGCTGGGCGAAGGCACCAAAGTCCCCTGGCCAGAGGTGTGGGAAGAAGTCCGGGGTGAAAGGAGACAAGGAGGGCCTCCTGTCGGGGATGTTGGCTTTGGGGTACAGGTTCTCCCTCAGCAGGGACTCGATGGAGAAGTCCCGGATCACCCCCAGGTGGTCAGGGCTGCCGGCCTGGAAGGAGTCGGAGAAGTCCCTGGGCGCATCCGAGTAAGCCTTCTCAGTCAGGTGGTCCGGCTTGGAAGGGCTCTGGTGGCAGGTGATGTCCTGGGGGTCTGGCAGGTTCTCCTGGTCCGCGAAGTCCTCCGTGTCCTCATCGTCCTCCTCCTCCTCTTCCTCCTCCTCCTCTTCGTCTTCCTCGTCGTCTTCATCCTCCTCCTCCTCATCGTCGTCCTCCTTGTCATCCTCCTCGCCGCCGTCCCCTCCGGGCTCCATGATCTCCAGGCACACGTTGACGATACACTGGATCTCCAGCATCCGGGCGGCGTTGAGGATGTGCTTGACGTTGGAGGCGGTGATGGTGAGTGTGGACGTGTAGGCGAACTCGAGGATGGCGGCCAGCGCCTCAGGCTGCACGAAGTCGATCTCGTAGACGTAGGGCTGGCTGCCTAGGGTGCCGGCCGTGAAGAGCTTCTTGAAGTACTTGCTGCAGGCCGCCAGGACGGCCCTGTGCGTGCGGTACTCCTGCTCCTGCACCACCAGGAGCACGTCGCACAGCAGGCCGTCCTGCCGCTGCTCGTTGAGGCTGCACAGGACCTCGCTGCTGTGGTTGGGGAAGGGGATGCCGATGAGCTCGTCAATACCATTGGCCATGATCTCAGCCAGAGCCCTGCTGGGAAGAGAGGAAGATCGGGGTTAGAGATGAACCATCTCACTTACCGTCACCCACCACTGTCCAGTCTATTCCCACTCATAATCGACTTCCCACTCGGCTTCTGAGGCTGTAAAGTCTTTATAAGAGAATGCCCATCTTTCTCTCTTGGAGAGACTGGTAGGTTTGAACTGCCAACTTTAGGGTTAGCAGCCAGTATTGTTACATGCTTTGTCACCAAGGCTCCTGGGCCATCTCATGGAAAAGATGTATTCAGACAAGTCCACAGATTTCTTTCTGGGGTGGCAGCCATGGCCCCTTGAGGGTGATTTGGGATACAACAAAACAGCTCATTGCCATTGAGTTGGAACTGACTCACAGCTGACCCACCGGTGGGTTTTCTGAGGCTGTAAATCACACAGCAGGAGACTGCCCATCTTTTTCTCTCAAAGCAGCTGATGGATTTGATCTTTCTGCCTTTGGGTTGGCAACATAACTCTACCCATTAGGCCACCAGAGCTCCTTTGATGCCTCCATCAAATCTTGGCTGAAGGAGATCTTTCCCCCCAACAGCCAGCATCCTCGACAAAAGGCCAGCTCTGGGATCTAGACCACTATGGCCAGACCACCCTGCTTCTTCTTACTTCTAGCCTTTGCCTATGACATGTCCCCTCCACTAGCAAGCTGACCTTCCTGTTCTTCAGCTTTGCCAGTCTCGCTCAGAGTTAGAGCCCAGTTCAAAGGGAAGCTTTCCTTTCTATGAAGATGGCACGAAAAGCGAAGAAGGAAGCCCCCGCCCCTTCCAAAGCTGAAGCCAAAGCAAAGGCATTAAAGGCCAAGAAGGCATCCTGAAGGGATTCACAGCCAAAAAAAAAAAAAGAACTGCATGTCACCCACCTTCCAGCGGCCTAAGATGCTGAGACTCTGAAGGCAGCCTAAATACCCCCAGAAGAGCGCCCCCAGGAGAAACAAGCTTGACCACTATGCCATCATCAAATTGCCCCTGACCACTGAGTCAGCCATGAAGAAGATAGACGGTCACAACACACTTGTGTTCATCGTGGATGTCAAAGCCAACAAGCATCAGATTAAACCCTCTGTAAAGAAGCTCTATAACACTGATGTGGCCAAGGTCAACACCTTGATTGAGGCTGATGGAGAGAAGAAGGCCTATGGTTCGACTTGCTCCTGACCATGATGCTTTGGATGTTGCTAACAAAATTGGGATCATCTAAACTGAGTCCAGCTGGGTAATTAGAAATATAAACTTTTCTTACAAAAAAAAAATAAGGGAGATGCCCTTCCCGGAGTCTAAGCCTTGGCTGGAGTGTGCTTCCCCAGGGGACAGATGGAGGCTGCTGTCAGCAAAGGCTTTGCAGGCTTCTTGCAGGCATGAATCCACCACGTTCTACCTGGCTACCCCTGTGCAAAGAAGGAGCTCCAGTGGCCTCATAGCTAGCATGTTGTGCTACTAACCACACGAATCCACCAGCCGCTCTGTGAGAGAAAGACCAGCAGTCTCAAGATCGCTAGATCTGTAAACTAAGTGGAAGGTCCCTGTGGTTGGAATTGACTCAACTGCATTGCAACAGTGAACACTACGATGACAGGCCCATGACACACTTGATGGCTCTGTACGCACTAGAACTGTGTCCAGCACTTACTTAACATCTGCGAGTCAAGGTCAAGAGAACATTCTCTCATGGTTGGGAGACCCTGTTGAGAAAATGGTCCATTCCATAAAGCCTCGGACTCCTCTAACAAATTAACAGTCGTACTGTTTGAGGAGCTGACTCTGACTCCTGGGGACCCCAAGCGTGGTAGAGTAGGATTGTGGTCCCAAGGGTTTTAGTGGCTGATCTTCCAGAAGTAGGTCCTCAGGCCTTTCTTCAGAGTTCTACTGGATCGACCTGAACACCTTTTGGCTGGCCTCAGAATTTATTAACTGTAACACCCAGGGCTTCAGAGTTGGCGCCAAGAAGCTTAAAATCAAGACTGTGACCCATTCTCAGCAATTGGCTGGGGATTCCACAATATGTGTTTTGTGTATCACAAAACCTAAGCATTGTGTATTGTTCGGGGACTCTGTGATACTGTGTGGTGCCCCCTAATCCTACCCCTGGTTTTTTCTTTGTTTAATTTCATTTGCAATCCTTGGGCCAAGTTCTTCTAAATCCAGATATCTTATGTATGCATTTGTGAGCTGGTTCACCTAGAAGCAAAAGTGTAAGTTCAATACCAAACATGCGTGCATTGTTAGTTAATTTCTCCTGTATGCATCCTGTTACTCTCATGGAAGGATACACCTGCGGGAAGAAACTTCCCTTGAGACACCTTATTATCTGAATTACATGTCACCTGTGGCCACTGATAGCCATGGAGGAGAAGCAGGGCAGGGAGAGGACCACCAAGCATCCCCTCCTTCAGGAAGAAGTAGTAATTTACCTGAAATTGTTCCCTTAGGAAGAACTCCCAGTCCAAGGCAGCAATCAACCTGAACAAAAAAAAGCGCCTCCATTTTCATACCACAGCAAATATGGCTTTTGCTTGTGGCCAAGCTTGACCGTGGCCATGAATGCATTCAGGTGAAGACTGGCTTTTACAGTGGAAAACAATGAAAAGAGAAACAAAAGCCCAAGAGCCACAGGCCTCGGTAAAAGACACTCTGGTTACTCCCCACATATCTGTATTCTAGATGTTTCCTCTTGGGGAAGGCAGGTGTGGAGTGAGGGTGAGGTCGAGTTGAGCATCACAATATGAGACTCGAGTGGGGTCTGGTAGCCACAGGGTACGGTCTGTAGGTAAGGTGCTACTGACCACCTAAGAGTTCTGTCTACCATTTGTCTGGAAGATGAGATTTGGGAATGAGGGTTTTTTTGCTGGGTTTAAAGGGTAACTAAGGGCCTGAATATCTCATGGACTGGTGCTCTGGTGGCCTAGTGGCAAGAAGCTGCACTGTAATAATGAACGCACATAGTTCGAGGCCACCAGCTGCTTCATGAGAGGATGGAAAATCTCTTCCTGTGTGTTAACTGCCTCTGAAAACCTGCTGGAGGGTCTGCTATGGGTCAGTTCTGACTCTATGGTACACAAAAACAACAACAACATCCCATCGACTGCCAAAAGAACAAATAGGTCTTGGAAAAAGTGCAGCCAGAGTGCTCCTTGGAGGCAAAGATAGTGTAGCTTCATCTTTCATACTTTGGACATGTAGCTTGGTGAGGTTATTCCTTGGAAAAGGACATTGTACTTGGAAAGATGGAGGGTCAGCAAAGAAGAAGACGACCCCCAATGGGATGGACTGACATGGTGACTTCAGCAATAGGCTCTAGTGTATCAAAGCTGATGAGGATGGCGCATTGATAGGGCAGGGTCCAGGCTAGTTCTTCATAGGGTCACTCGGAGTTGTACCTGACTTGGTGGCACCTAACAACAACAACAAGGGCCACAGTCACAGGTGTAACTTCTGGCCTTTCCATGTCTACAATGAAGAGAAAAGCAAAACAAAGATGTACTGAAACAATTAGTCCAGAAGACCAATGGGCCACGTGAACCTCAACTTCCATGATCCTACCTTCTCTAGAAGATTCTGCTGGACATGCAGCCAGTCCTCAAATATTCACTGGGGTTTGTCCTATAACAAGCACTAGAGCAAGCAAGAAGACTGGTACTCTAAGAGCGCTTAAGTAGGGACGTGGAAACAGTGATAAATACAAGGCTCACCAAAGAGGATACAGAGATGCCAAATAAGGCATCCTCTTTAGAGATACACTCAACAGCATTACAGCCACCAGAGAAATACACACTAGAGCCACAATGAGCAAACACCAACCACCTACAAAAATAATGAAACATCAAGTGCTGATAAGAATGCAGAGAAATGGGTCGCTCATATATAGCTGGTGTGGATGGAAAATGGTGCAACTTCACCGGAAAAGTTTGGCAGTTCCTCAAACAAGTAAATTTGCAACTAGGATATACCATTGAGCAAATGATAGTCATTTCTCTCATGACCATATGTAACCCACATATGAATGTTCCTAGCATTTTATTCATAAGAGCTCCAAATTTCAACCATTCAGAAGTCCTTTAGTGGGAGAATGGTCCAGCAAATGGTGCTACAGCCACATCATGGAAAATTACTGAGTATTAACGAGAAAACAAGTCCTGCTACGTGCAACAACTTGCAGGAAGCAGAGGGCAAAATGCCAGTCTCCCACGAGTAGGTAACACATTGTATGATTCTGTACATAATATTGTGCAGATGATGCAATTATAGAAATGAAGAACAGCGGTGGCCAGAAGTTGAGGGGTGACCGTGAACTAGGTGTGGCTGGAAAGGGGCAACGTTATGTATCATGTTAGGAAAGGTGAGGGTCAGCGTGACAGAAGAAGACCCTCAACAAGATGGATTGGCCCAGTGACTATAACAGTGGGTGTGAACATCACAGAGATAGTGAGGATGGTGCTGGATAGGACAAGATTCAGTTATGTTGTTCACAGGGTTGCTATGTGTCGTGGTGGATTCACTGGTACCTAGTAATAATGACATCTCTCATCCACCCACCCATCCATCCATCTACTCATCCATCCACCCACCCACACCCTCTCCCTTCCTCCCTCCATCCCTCCATCCATTCATCCACCTACCTATCCTTCCGTCCTTCCATCCATCCATCCATCTACCCATCCATCCATCTATTCATCCACCCACCCACCCACCTCTGTCCCTTCCTCCCTCCATCCCTCCATCCATTCATCCACCTACCTATCCCTCCCTCCTTCCATCCATCCATCCATCCCTCCTTCCATCCATCCATCTATCCATCCATCCATCCATCCCTCCCTCCATCCATCCATCCATCCATCCATCCATCCATCCATCCATCCCTCCCTCCCTCCTTCCATCCATCCATAAAAGACATAGTTGCTTTGACCTTCCCCTCTATGGAATGCCTCATTCTAGAGGAAGTTAATGGCCATGTTGTGAAGATCCTCAAGTTGCCCCATGA